GCCTTTCTAATCTTCTCCCTGCATAACCTCACAACACCCTTGTAGTCCCCCTGAGTCACCTGCCCCTTCTTCCAAAGGCGGTAGGCTCTCCTTTTTTTCTTGAGTTCCAGCCAAAGCTCTCTGTTCAGCCAGGCCGACTTACGGCACACGGGGACGGCCTGTTCCTGTGCCTTTGAGATTTCCTTCCTGAATAACATCCAGCCTTCCTGGACTCCTTTGCCCTTCAGGACTGCCTCCCAAGGGACTCTGTTAACCAGACTCCTAAACAAGCCAAAGTCTGCCCTTCTGAAGTTCAGGGTAGCGGTTTTGCTGACCCCCTTCCTTACTTCTCCAAGAATGGAAAACTCTATCATTTCATGGTCGCTGAGCCCAAGACAGCCTCTGACCACCACATTGCCCACTGGGCCCTGTCTGTTCGTAAACAGCAGGTCCATTGAGCGTAAGAGGAAAGTAGCTCAGAGGAGTTCAACAGTACTAGCTGGAAATTCTCCCCGTGTGTAGGAAGGACAGGAAGGTAGTAAGAGGCCAGCTTGACTAATGAGATGTTCAGTGCCCTCAAACACAAGAAACTGGTTTTGTGGGGTTGCTCTGTAAATCAGATCAACAAAATGATCTGGATTAAAAAAGAACACAAAACCGGTCTTTGTCCTTCCCTCCCCCACTCTTTGTTTGTTGTTAGACTGAGTCGTTTCACTGGTACAGCTGATAGCATGGGCCTACAAACAACTGCATCAGCACTGCTCAAGGAGCTGATGCTGATGCTTAGAGGTGAGGATCTCCTGCTGCCTGGGCGATGAGATGTTTCGAATGTATTCAGAAAGGACATCATTAATCTTCAGTACAAATCTGAGATGGGAAAAGACTGGCTAGGCAGTAGTGATTTGAAAAGGCCTTTGCGGTGGAACAGATCACGAGCTGCAGGTGCATCAGCAATGGGACGCTTGCAAAAAGAAAAGGCAAATGTGTGGGGCCTGTAGCAACGGGGGTAAATTCTGGCAGATCACATAACCTTCTCGATCAATTTAGCACTGACAATGTGGATGTGGGGCCTAGTAGTGGAGACTAGATTCCAAGAAAAAGGTAAACCAGCTGGAGAGCATTCAGAGGAGAACAGGAAAAAACGTATGTATGAAGCGGCCTGTGAGGAAAGATCAAAAGAACTAGTGCTTTGTAACCTAGGGAAGACTGAGAAGAGGCATGGAAGTTCCCAGCTTTGCAGCGTCTTTCTTACACGCTCCTCAGGGATTACATCTTTTACCAACGTCCCCTAGAAACAGGAGAAATAGCGTGGGGCTGAAACCACGGGATGTGGAGATCCAGCTTCTTGTCTCCAGCCGCATGTACAACAAAGCGCAGGTGGAGACTCCTGGGGAACCGCGTGAAAGCATGTGTCACTAGAGATTTTCAGACAGGTTAGACAGGCATCTGTCAGGTTCAGACATGGCAGATGCTCCCGGGGAGAAAGGGCCCGTGAGCAGGATTCAGGCAGCTGCTTCCCGCGTGACCTGCTGCGAGCCTCTGGAACCCAGGTGAGCAGCCTGGCTGTGAAAAGCAGCGAGACACGACCGTACCTCTCCGCGCCGTGCAGTCGCGAATGCTCCTTACCATCGTGGCTTTGCGGGGTCGCTGCTTCTCCCCAGCACAACGGGAACTTCCAGCTTTTGTTGTTGAGCGGAACACAAATAGCTGCTGGAGTTGTGGGGGAAAGAGAGGATTTCATTTTACTTCTAGGTAATGAAGGTTTTCTTTTTGACTAGCAACAGCCCTCAGCTCATCTACATTACCTGTGCTGAAACACTTAGGGCAATAACCCATAGTAATGAGCCCTGCTCATCAGGAGAGAGGATGTCTGCTGTGGGACCAGTCACGATGGCCTCTGCCTACAAATGTTGTGCCTTGAACTGCTGGGCTCCGAAACCCCTTGGCCGTATCTCGGTATGCTTTTATTTGCTCGTCACGGTACGTTAAAACCCCCGGAGAGGCAGCACCTCTCCCTCTTTCCTCGCTGCCGGAATGAGAGCAAAGGTCGCTTCTCCCCCGGCAGCG